CGCGTGACAAGGGCATTCCCGCTGTCGACCTGTCGTGGTTAACCAATACGCTCAATTTAAAGCAGGTCATAAACACTGATAGTTATGTCCTTCGAAGTGGTAAGGAGACGAGGTCAAAAGGCAGCCAGAGGAGAAGCAAGTCCCCAAAGCACAATGGAACGAGCGACGAGGAGAGCAGTGAAGAAGATGAAGAGAGTGACGAAGAGCAGTACGGATCTCCTGCCCGTTCAAACACATGGAGATCGAAGAAAGGGCGCTTGGCAACTCCGCTAGACTCTGAAGATCGTCGATCCACCATACCCGCTAAGATATCCGATCTATTCTAGAGTACCAATACGCAAAGACTCCTCGCCATGCCCCTACATCCACCCAAGAATCAAGACAGGGCTGGGAGTACTTTCATCGAGCTTATGAGCGATCCGGACTAGAAGACTAGTGGGAAAAGCAAACCACTAAAAGGGGAGATCCGAACCGAAGTGAACCAGGGACAGCTTTTGGTTGTAGCACTAGGGAAAAACGACGAATATCCGGAAGCCATGAGAGCCTTTCTCGTTCAGGGCAGTCGCTATGCTAGACACAAGGCAAGCTTCCAGCAACTCGGCCGACAAGCGATGAAGTCCGGCACGAAGACTGACTTTCCTTAACTGACGCTGGACAAAATGAACGTCGTTCTAGTGGCATCCAATGAAGCTGAGTCGGTGTCCGTTGTGTTGTTTCTGGTTAAGGGTACGCAACACCTGCAGCTTGCTTCTCGCTTAGCTCTGAACGAGATCTTGGGCAATAAGAAGGGAGATTAAATCGTGATTGGGAAGAGGCGAATAGCTGGACAGGGTGTTCCGAAGAAGATGAAGCCAGTCGAGGTTTCGACCGAAGTGTGGGACATGCTCGAGAGGAAGAGCAACGGGAGGACTTCGTCGGCCGGATAAGCTCGGAGGGGTGTCGCTGGGCGATGCATCTCGCGTGCCATAAGAAACGTGCCGTATTGCGAGTAGTGCTGAATTTCGTACATTGTTTCTGTAAGCCACGCAAGTACTTGCCTCTTTTAGTATCACGAATAAGGTGTCTGGGCGTCTGATGTCTAGGCGTCTGATGTCTGGGCGTCTGATGTCTGGGCATCTGACGTCTAGGCGTCTGAACACCATGCTGCCGATGCTCGCTGCATATCTGTGTTATTCTTGTTTCTAATGAAACATCGGCAATCCGTGAGACCCTTGGATCACTGGAGCGCCTGGGCATGCCTACCCTGGGCACCACCTTAGATCGGAGCTCTGAGTGGGCAAGTGGTTACCCTTATTCCACTCGTCGATCCCACAAGCTTGGCAGGTCTTGCAGAAGTGACGTCTTCTTGTTCCTATGCATACATTTCTCTTTCTAGAGAGATGTAAGATGTCTATTCTTGAATGTGTTGTTAGTCTACAGTTTGGGGGGTCATAGATCGTCACTGAGCATGTCCACGCGCTTTCCGAAGCCAAGTTATATAAAGTTCTATCTACTCCTTGTTCACAATCACGTCTGCTAGAGGCCAGCCCTTCGGATTTTCTTATATGTGAACGCCTACTTCTTCCGAAAAAGGCTGCTTATCGCGAAGAAAGATAGGACTTCTTCTCTAGCCGCGCTGGCTCAATGTGGACCTCCTAATCTAGAAGGCGTAGTAGATCTCTTTCTATCCCGTTTACATCTTACTTTGAAAGCCCGAATATCTACTGCTTTCTTTTAACAATTCGACTGTGAGCAGCCCAATTTCTGTTAGAGAACGAGCGATCTAATAGGCACTTGTTAGCATTTATTAGACAACCTAAGACAAAGCCATGATTTGTGCACCTCCGGCCACGTCTTTGTATCTGTTTTGCAAATAGTTTCCCAATCAAGAGGCGAAGATAGATCAGCGATGCCATGAGTTCCAGAGGGGTAAGCCGAAAGCATTTCACGAGATGGGTGATGAAGGCTTCCAGCGAGGGAGGATTCAGGTCGCCCGGGCGAGCAGGGTCGGCGCATCACGGTGTGTCACGGTAGAAGAAAATGCGGTTACGCAGGGCAACGATGTCCTTGGTGACTTTCTGGCTTTGAAACTAAACGAGCAGGTCGGGCTAATTCATGTTGAGAGGCTGGACCAGGTGCACGATAGCGCAGGCACTTGGATGGACGGCAGAGCTAGGCTTGTTTATATAGGTCGGCGCCGGACTATGGCCATTCTGACAATTTTGTCTCTAAAACCTGTTTCCTCGTTTAGGTCCGCCTCAAGTCCATGTTCGTTCTCCTTCGGATATTCAGAACGAGCCTATGCGATCGGGAATGTCCTAAGTTCGCCTGCATTTACACAAGTGACAAGCCAATTCACGTCACAGGGACATGAGTGCCATTTTGAGGACTATGGCTTCCTCACACACGGAGCAGGATATATTGCGGCGAACCGGCGTGGCCAGAGCTTTGCGAGACCGGCTTTCCGGTCCAGGCACAAATGAAGGAGACATGTTCTTCCTTTCGTGCTGAGGCCCCTGCCGACTCACCTTCCTAACCTGACAATGCGCGTTGACCTGGTCATCGTGGAGAGGTCCGTCTCGCCCCTGTCATCAGAAGATGGGGAAGAAACCCAATTATGGCCACGACCGTTGGCGTTGCCTCCATCGCGCTCCTCTCAGAAGCTTCGGGGCTGTTCTGAAGCGACGAGGGATGCAAAGATCGAGCGTCTTCGCAACGAGAACAACAATTTAAAGCAAGAGATCCACGTATTACGTAATAAGCAGCGCAGCGATCACGGTCGCCTGGAAGTCCTGCGCGAACAGGGAGGTTACCAACGGCAGGTGCTTCGGGAGCAAACCAGGGAGATAGCGGAGGCCATCAGCGTTGTGGAAGAGGTCTTTCTCGAGTATGAAGCCTGGGTGCGACGGTCGATGGGCTCTAGATCATCCACATCCCGAATGGATCTTTTAAGCTATTAGCCGCTTATCAGCGCACCTCGTCTGCTATACGTGGTGAGCAGGGCGAGAAGTGATTACTCTTCGGATGCGGCTCGTATGACACGTTAGCAGTTAGATTACTTAATGCAAGCGTCTGCCACAGAGATTGGAAACGAACCTCGCAATACAGTTTAGAGTGAGTCCACGATCAAATGGAAGCAACGCAATATTCCTGCCTGGAAACTGCTTTTCGGCTTTGGGGCCCGTCCAGCATCGGCCATGCGTTGATTGGAATAGGAGCAATGAAAAGAAGAAAGCCATGAATCAATGCTCAATAGTCTAATTTATTCTAACGTTCTGCACGGCTTGAGTCTCTACAGTGCTGTGGCCATGTCGTGCCAGGCTGCGCAACCGCGCGGCTATAGTGTTCGCTCGGCGGGGGAGTCCTTATGTCGGATTTGGCCCAGGGTGCCGCTATGCGTGCGCCCACCGACACGCGCTGAATAGCGCATCTCATCGGCACACCGCGACCTCATATGTCCACTATGACTACCTCCATAGCCGATAATAAATTCTGATAAGTTCATACTATAGTTCAGAGAAACCCGAAATCACATATTGCTTTTATCGGAATTGTGGCTGTCCAGGGTGAGCCTAACCAGGAGAGGTACAACGGCCATATTTACACCACTATGCGTCTCCGCCTTCGCTGAATTGCGGCCAGCCTGCGTTCACCCGCCCTCGCCATGGAAGGGATGCCCTATGAAATCATTAGCGAGTTCGTCTCGTATCTAGACTCGCGAAGCCTTCTCAATTTAGCACTGACTGCTAGTCGCTTCACGCATGTCTGCTTGTCCGAGGCTTCGCGTCACCTCTGCGTGCTCGATACCCGTTCGGCGCTGATAGGCCTGGCGCACCACATTAAACAGACAAGTCCGCCCACACGAGCTCTCACGGTGTATCATGGGGAGTGGCCGAAGTGCAACTACAAAGAATGGGAGCTTCACCCGCTCCAGGTGTACGAAGCGCACCCTGTTGTGCTGCAATCCCTGTCGAAGAAGGAAAAGGCTTTGCAGGCCTTCCGCCGCTACGGCCACTTTGTAGCGGAAGAAGAGTCTCGGGGTCGCGACGATGACATCCGTCGATTGAACCAGATTCTAAGTTCTCTCCCACAGCTCCAGCGGATCACAATCTCCCATATCTGTTCCCATGGGTGGAAACCAAAGAAAAACGCCCAAGTCACCCGGCTATGTCAACAGATCTGGATATCACCGTGCCGGAGAGACTCGGTCGATCGACTCGTTGGTGATTTTCTGATAGTACTTCCCAACTATGGCCGCGTCCAGGATTTGAAGATTAAAGGCAAACTGAACCTTGAGTCGATCGGCCCTCTATATACGGCGTTATGTTCCGTGACCAAACTCGACATCAAATCGTTGAACATAGCAAACACCACTACTGCAATATTCAATTCCTTCTTGTCTTTGTTTCCCGCTTTACAAAACCTCCAAATCAACTTCTGCCGCCACGATCCACTAACCGTTATCCCTCTCGATCACGTGCACTGTCCTGAGCTTCGCTCGGTATCTCTCGCCAACTTGCGTGTGGCAGTCCTCGCGTTAGTACGGTTCATGCAGCGACACCCTGCCATGGAATTATTATAACTTGACGAGGCAACGCTGGTGAACGGCCACTGCGTGTTGTACTACCCGCGCAGCTGGTTGTTTGGGATCAACTCTAGATTGACGCTACGGATAACGGGTACTGCCCCGGCTCCCGGTGGTCCTACTAGCTTCTAAGTGGGTACGTCGGACACGAGTCCCATGCAGATACATGGCAGGCCGGCAAGCTATTGGTAGAACCGAGACGATTCTCGGCTAATACTAAATCGCAGGGATACGCTCGCAGGCTGCAGAGACATGATAAAGACAGGCGAGAATGAAGCTTGCGTAGAGAGCGTGCAGATAAGTAACCGACGAGTCGGAAAGTCTTGCGACAATATAAGATAGAGGAAGAGTGTGTGCAAATAGACGAGCTTATATGTACATTAAATCCGAAACAAGTATACCCTTGAAAACCATCCACCTCAACCAACTGGATCGTTTAAGTCTTGCGTTTTGTAGTCCTGTCAAAATAAGCAGCTTTCTGCTTCACCCACTTATTAGCACTAAACTTCGACGTGATTTCCCGTTCGCAAATAGCCATGGCTTCCGAACCACGCATATCACGAAGCTGCACTGTTTGAGGAGTCCAGGTCACTACACAAGTCATGGATCCGTCTGGGTGCAGAGTGAAGTCTTTGTACTCTTCCACGTCGAAAATACGGGATTGGCTAAGCTTGACACCCTTCATGGCATTTAGTCGCTTCGGCTTTGGCTTAACCAATGATTCTTTGGTGCGTCTTTTGAGACGGGATCGGGTAGTGTCGGGCTTCAAATATGGTAACGCTGGTAGGAAGATTGTCAGTGCGGACTCTTCCCCTCCTATGCTTCATGCGACGTCACTTACATGCTTGGTTTGGTTCGAAAGGAGGCTGCAGGTCAGGGTGGAGAGATGGATTACTAGGTATGGCTCCAGTCTTGCCACTATCGAGCAGATCACGCTCGGACGTAGCAAGCGTCGCTATGGCGCTGAGAGATAGCCTGCCGACTGCTGCACTGGCCGACTTTTGCCCTGCCTGCTTGTCGAGCGAGACCGCTCGTCCGACCGCACGATGGGCATTGTTGGGGTTGCCTAAAGACTGCACGGAAGTAACCTCGATGGATCCGACATGGGGGCGCGTGACATGCTTCTCCGTTATAGCAGTTGTTTGATGAGGAGCGTTCAACGTTGCCTAAGAGCTCATGGCGTATACGTTAGTCGTTGAACAGGAAGGGTTTAAGGAGGAGCTATGCCAAGAGAATAATGAATGATATGAAGTACGGGAGATGCCTTCGTTTTTATAGACGAGATTCTGCAATGAGTAAGCCACGCTTCGTTTGGTTTGTCCCTCGGCCAGCCACTCGCCCATTACGTCACTATTTTCATAAACGTTCCGTTGTTTATGGGTCAGGACGAACGACGGCACGTCCCTAGTGCCTTGGGTAGTAGTGGCCAGAGGCGCAAGCACGGTAAATGCGGTGGCTTTCGAGGAAGACTACTTTGGATGTCAAGACCAATTTGCGGTGTGGTCCCGGAAGGCCTCGTCAAGAGACAGCTGCGAGCAGGCACAACGTTCACAAACACACCGTACGCGTAAGAGCCATTCACGCGCTAGAGGTCCGCAGATTTCGGGGCTCAGGTTCGGGAGTTTTATTACTATATAACCTGTGAAGCACCCAACGCGCCCCCCAGAGCCTGAATCCCAACAGCATCCGCCTCATAATTACGGGCCCCTGAAGGACATCGAAAGTCAGGATCCGGAGCTGCCCTAGCGATAACTCATGTATGATAGCGCCGACTTCAACTCATAGCAACGCTGCACAGTGAGGAATGGAGAGCCTGGCATAGTTTGGACGAGTGACGAGGCAAATCCTCTAGCGCCGCGCCCGGTATAGGAGACCAGTCAAATACACCCGAGTCCCGCACAATCGTCGGCAAGGCTGACCTTGGGCCTCGACTACTTGTCGTGACTCGATATCTTGGGGGGCACTCTTCTCTCTAAGCGCGAGCTTCCTATCATTCTCTTGTCGCATGCCTTCTTCGCCCCAGTTCTGCAATTTGGTGGCCCTATCCGTCTGGCCCTCGCCTGATGTCATTTGCGTGCAACGTATACGCTTGCTTGATGCTCATTTATCAACAACATGATCATCGAGCTCTTCTAGCAGCACGTATCCTTCCACATCATGCTTGTCGTCGTGAAGCTGCGCCGAGGTAGAGAACATGCTGGGTATAAATATCTCAGGAAGCGGGTAGGTTCGAAGCTACGAGCAGTCAGCCAGGTACGACATATCTCGAAAATATCCCGGCTCACGATCTCGTCCTTCGTAGGCGGAAATGATGCCTAATCCGGCTCGCTAGTAAAGACCCATGTACGGTGGTTGTATTCGATGAAGGTGTAAACCTTGGCTTGACAATCTCGCGATAGATCATGCGCCCTGCGCAAGAACGTCTTGCGTCGCTTGGAAAACTTGGTTGCGGCACGCTTACGGCTTTTGCGGATTTCCTCTGGGTCGTACGGCTTCAAGAGGGACGGGGTTATCTGCTAACGTTTCGATATGCTATCAAGACTTACGCGACCGCGATGTTACAGGGCGTCGTGCTCGCGATATGAAAGCTGCCTATTCCTTCGCCGATATCCTACTTCGTATTATACCTCATACACAAATATAGATATCGGAACACCTTGTTCAATGTTGGAAGTTGTTTCGAGCAAGGGAAGGCAAGCGCTGGATGCCGCTTCGCGCTCGAATTTAAGCGCCAGGATGCGGTTCGATTTCAAATCCAATAGAGAAATACGGCAGATAACGTCCTCTCCAACCACTTCAACCACCCTATTGGAATTACACCTGTGTACTCTTTCTCCCTCCACCCATCCCATCAAGCCCGACTGCCTCAGTTTCTCTATTAGACTTCTTGCGCCCCGTCTGGCCCTTGTATCCATGCACTTCCCAAGTGTATTCGCGCCAATACTCTATTCCATTGATCAACGCTTCCACGCCGGCAATTGTGCATTCTGGGCAGGGAAAGGGCTCATTGAAGAGGCCCTGCGCTAGGTGCGCCGAGTTTATATGCCTGGAAAACGCATGGCCGGCAGCGAACTGTCCCTAGCAGAGCTTGCATTCTACCTTTGGAAATGTTTTGAACTGACGAGATCGCCCTGATTTGACTAGCGGCGACTGCCGAGGGCTATATGGTGAGTTGTGTTTCCCGTGGTATCTCTCAACATGGGTGCTCCATTCAGACTGCCCATCTATGATGCGCTTTCGTTTACCCTGCGACTTAGACAAGCATTCCGGGCAGAAAAACGTTATTCGAAACGTCTCTTTATGTCTGCGCTGAACGTGTCTGCTCAGACTATACCTGCTGTGCATTGGGCCACAACCGAGCAGACAGCGAAATTCTGTAGTCAAGTTGGCTCTCGTATGCTTCTTCATGGGCAGCAGTGGCTCAATTGGCGGCCGAAGGAAAAGCTGCTGTTCTTCCTCCTTACTAATACCATGATTCGTCGATATTGTAGTCGACATTCTTTCGAGGTGCTCGACCTCCGAAAATCTATTTAATAGGAAAGCCATAAGAATGTCAATGTATTTTATTATAGTCAGCGTGTCGCTTTCCGAGCATCGTAACATGTAGCCGCTGAGTTGCGTTGCAGCTGCTGAACTGGTAGTATAGCGTCCTGCTTTCTGGCTCGTCTTTCTGTTAACGAGATGCTCTGTTGAATATCCCTTGGCCCTCAGCTTGTCGGCCTTAAGAAAGTATTCTTCACGACGTTGCAGGACTTAGAGTCTCGACAGTGTTGCCACGATATAGCTACGCTGAGATGCGATCCTCTATGCATTCTCCCTATCAGCTGATGTTTTACGTAGGATCTCATTAAGTTGCTTATCGAGCTCTCGTATATCTTTCCGTATGTTCTATCTTGCGTAATCCTCCAGCTGCGGATCTATGGGCGCGTTATCATCACAGGTGAGTAAGGAATACTAAAGAAGTCCGAAAATAGGTTCGTTCTTTTTCAAAATAGTAGGAAAGGCGATAGCAGCTAGGTTCTCTATTATATGAACTAGTTAATAGCTTTTTCGGAATACAGACTCCGTGTTCGAGATGACGTGGCTGCGCAATGCCGGCGTCAAGGCTCCTAAATCTATTTAGCTTATTGTTCTTCGTGGCCATTATAAGGACAGCACGTCTTACCATCCAATCGTCCTCCCGCGCCTACGCGCATGGAGTAGGGACGATCTATTCTTCGGCAGCCCAGGACAAGAAGAGTACGCTGCTATATCTGACTGAACTTTTGGGGCGATATCTCGAAGATAGGGCGTTCTAGCATGGAATTTTTCCACGAGAGTGGTATGGATCGGAGCCCTTGCAGCTTTAGCACCGATAGTATCTCGAAAGCCGAACGGTACTCTCCGCTGAACGCGTTATCGGTGAGAGCCTAGGCAACGATCAAGCTTGACAGGTCGACAAGAAGGCAAGGTATGAATGTCACACTGAATGATAGCCTGGAAAATCGAAAGTCAGCAAGAAGCAAGTGCCATATACGAATAGAACGGCCTGACTTGTGGTCTTGACTATTCTTCACCTTGTTATGTCGTTGTTTGTTGTGAAACATAGTCGGCGTGGCTACAAGTCGTGGCTTGTCTTCGCATGAAGGGTCCTGTACCAAATCCAACCTGATTTAGCTGTACCGAAAGCGTAACAATGTCCCTTGACGAAAGCCTCCGATGGCTATCATTAGAATTACAAAGTGAAAGGCAATGCGCTCGGATGCGGTGCAGGGGATATCGTCTGCCCGTCGCCACAATGTCGACAGGATCATCAAGACATCTTTATCTATCATCTCTACCTTTTCGAATGTTTATTCTCGACGTAAGCCTAGCGAATCTATTAACCCTTCTCGGATCCACTAGCGGACTCTGACTTCAGCACACATTGTATGAAGGGCTGTAGAAAGCAAATCTGCGACTTACTAGACTGATCTTGGAAACTGGTCCTGTACTACGCTCTTTCACCGCTAGCGTCCAGTGTCTAGCGTTCCTCGGATCACTTCTCCGTTTTGCCTAGAGAACTTGTTCGTCGGCATACCTCACTAAACCTTTCCATGCTTCCAAGACCGTCTTGGTGCAGGTCACAGTCCTTACATCGTCATACTCTTGCGGTCCCAGAGCGATTCGTTGCTCGACTGAGTAGACGACATAGTCTTGAAGAAAGGCCTGGCAGTATTCTATCGCTTTGAAACTTTCGTCGCAGAGCTGAAGCCAGATATCATCCGGATCCATGCCTAGCACGTTGCGGAAATAGCTTTAGATCGGCTCAGCATTCACTTATGGTCGTTAGATCAATCAAGGCGAACTTACATTTGCCACTTTTGAAAAATATTCTGCCGTTGCTTCCTCGTCACGGCAGCAACTGATGCCCTATCGGAGATCGGTTCTGCGTTAAACTGGGCGAAAGCTTCACGGCTTTTTCGCTGTCGCTCCTAACTCGTCGAAAGATAGTACAGTGGTCCGACGCGAATGGTGGTCGCCCCAGGTGCCATCCCAGGTAGCTGGGGGGCTGGAGGGAGGATGGAAGACATGGCGGCGCTCGCAGTGTACCAAAGCCAAGAGTAGAGATAGTACCGAATTGTATAAAGTCTGAAGTGAATAATTAACGTAGGAGATCTAGAAGAGCGCCTGTGAGAAAGGCATAAGAAGAGAGGTCCGAAATACGGACGCCAAACAGGATGCCAGATGCTAGCAGCATGGAAATGCTGGATAGAAATGCCGGACGGAAGGAAACGGGAAGGAGGGCGCCGTAGTCAAGACGGATAGTGGGTGGCATGAGGCGGACAGTGTATTGTAGTCTATGAACGACGGGGTGCGGCATCTCTTTTATCCCTGCCAGTTGCACCCGAGACCTTATGCCTCACCCTCTCGCCTCACAGTTGGAAGGCCATGTTAGCATGTCATCAGGCGGGTTCGAATGGTATTCGTCAATCGCAGCAGGGATGATCATGGTTCGGTTGTGCGCATCTACGCTCTTCCTGTGCTGAACAGAACGCTTCGAGGTCAGGCGCCTACTGCAACCCGTTAAGGCGGCGAGCTTGTCTCCCCAAAGAGCTGCACTGTTCGCCCTTCGGCCAACAAGCCTGCGAAACGCTCGCTAAGGTACAGCGTACTGACAGTGCGGCTTTCATTTTGGCCACTATCCATCTTGATGGTGTCCAATGATGGGCCCTCAAGACAGACGTGACAAAGCCAGGTATGTGGCCGCTTTGAAGCACATGAACCCCACCCATAGATCCGCCCAGGCGCGAGTTCGCATACTAAAGTTCAATTGAGACCATCTAAATCCGCACTTCGCTCAATGTCGCGTCCAGTATATTAAATCGCGCCTATAATCCCGAAATCGAATATCCTCCCTTTGCGATCCATCCGGGTTTGATCGTGGACCCTGGATATCCAAGTACTTATAAGTACATGGAAGGTACCTACATTACATATAGATAACTGACCGGATTCAATTTTGCATGCGACATGAACCGAGAACTGCAGGTGACGCGAGGACGAAGCGCGCCGAATATTAAATTAAGCATGCTGGAAACCCTCGATACGGAGAATTTGAGCGCACTCTCGTACAGCGTCCGCGTCCCACGGATACCCGCACATGCCAGCCGGGTAGTTTTTCTTCCTTTTCTCCTCTCCTCTTCTGTCACATGTCGATACCTGCCTCTTTCCACAGCGACCACCTCCCCGTTTGGTTGCCCTCTGGGCAGAAAGCTGGTAGCTGCGTGGAGAGCTCTCAACTGAAGGGGAAATGAGCGGGCGTGAATTTGGCGGGGGGGGGACTGAACCTGACACGCCGAAGGCCTGCAAAACGGATGGTGGGGTCGCTTGTGATATCAAGTCGACCCATCGTAGCCAATAAAATGCAGGCTTTTAGTCATGTTATGATCAAGCACTCTACGAAAGGTGCACCTCATTGAATGTCAACGACGGAAATGACTAGCAAGCAGAATTATAACCTGTGCGACACAACGTTCTTGATTCAACTAAGAACGAAAGACTGACCATGCGGGGGTCCACGCTACCGTGGAAACCTCGCTGGTAGCCCAAGGCCATGCCCGTGCCTTTTTCGCAAAGTCACAAGGTCACGAGCCTGGCTGTCGTGTGGCTCACCAAAAGTCTGTTTCTTCCATGTCAGCTGCTTCATCATGATGGGAGGTCTAAGAGCCACAAACTCATTGGTATCCAAGTGTTCAGCCTCGCGCCAAGACTCCAAAAGCTAGTCTGGAGGAACAATAATGGTCTCTTGCTCATTAGCAAGAAAGGCGTCCGGCTGGATTCCGTAGCTGGCGGTGACTGGAGCATAGCACCTTGGTGTGGGAGGTCAACTTCTTATGGTATTTACCACCTAGACGCTTACTGTGGTCCTGTAACTCTTCCAATGTGGCCCAATCAGGCAGGGGGCAGCTTATAGCTATAGTGATGACCCTCATAGTGGTGCAAGGCAAGAGGTAAAGTGGAGGGTAGGACGAGGTGTGTGGCCAGTACACACTGTACTATGCACGAGAGCTAGCAGCATCAAAGAAAGCGTTTTCATTCACTTTATATAATTGCCCTCCTCGCTTGCCATGAGAAAACGGCTAATTTGAAATTGAAGAGGCGCAGTTGGCTTTTCAACATGCGACAAGTTAACTTGAACGATGCCCTTTAGTGGTATCCAACCTCTGGTGTGATCGCCCAGCTCGCTCATTCGAGGCCAACAACGACTTCCGAAATTTAAGTTTTCAGTTCGTATTATGCACCGTAACTCACAGCTAAGCTTCGGGGACTCGGAGGCCAGCGTGTGCCAACGCGCAAAACTCAGTCTTTCTCTGTGTCATCACATACACCTGCTTTTCACACTTGGTGGCGTGCAGACCAATATAGCACTATCTGTTGTGTATATGGCCTCTTCCTTCGGGATGACTTAAGGTCTCAAGAGCCCATAAGATACTCAGTTAATCCTTGCCTCCTCCGTTTCCGCCATTCGCTCGTGTTCTGAGATTTTGTGTCAAAGCGGGTTAGTAACAGAGTGAAGAGGTCTTCCGACGGTGATATCCGCACTCAATTGTTAGGTAGGCAATAGGAATACATCTGAAATCTGGCCCTCCGCAGCTGGGAGGGTGTCAGAGGAGTCTCGCGACGAGTGAAGGTCAACTGTTGATCTCTTGGGGGTCTCTAGATAGGTAGAATAATCGATGCCCTTCCTCGATATGTGAACCGTTAGCTCTCCTTAGAACTAGCTCCTCGCTACGCTTGGTCCCTTCCCCTGGCCTTCTACGACCAAACAGTAGGCGATCCCCGGTCAACCTCGTAGTATCCATAGGTCCTGATAAAGGGCCATCCGCAGCCCTGATATATACGCCTCCGTGGCCTCGAGCCCCTATCCTAGCCCTTAAAACCCCTTGTTCCAGGGCTCCGCAGGTACCTTTTGGTTGTATTAGCAGGCATACTTGAGGGCAACTCTCCTAGTGATCAGAGTCCATAGGCTTGACTGGCGCATGCTCTCTGTGGTACAAAGTTGAGTGGGGTTAATGAAGTGGGATAATGTGTTGGGCCCATGTCTGGGGATTACGTGTTTTCCAGTCGGGCCATTGGGCCTTTATGAATCGTATCATGACTTGGACCTTTTCTCATGTCTGG